AATAATTATACGAAACAAACAAACTACTACTCTCTCTCTCTCTCTCTCTCTCTACTATATATATATATATATATATATAATTGTAAATTAGTGCTCTAATATGCAAAATGTTTGAAATAGAGTATTTATTTTTTATGGTGAGCAACTTATTTTAAGATCTGTCTTATTCAACTGAAAAATCTTGGATATTCCTGATGCAAATTGCACATGTAAAATTCCTTTATAAAATGATATTCAAAAGGTGACAATAGAAAAAAATAGGTAAACAAAATCAAAGGTTAAAGGAATTACTTATTTGAAATTAATTTTCATGGGAAAAATGCTAAAGTCTAGTATTTAAATGTTATATAGAGATTACATTTATTCATCTTACAGTTGGTCAATGTATGTATGTGTGGTCTTTATTTTGTAAGTGGTTTAGATAGTTCCAACTGTGACCAATGCATCACACTTCTGAAGACTCTTGCAAAACGTGGGTGTACAGTTGTTTGTTCCATACATCAACCTAGTGCTCGAATATATGAAAAGTTTGACAAGGTAGAGTAACAATTTCTGTATTATAGAACATCATTTAAACCAGATAACTTGTAGTTTGAGAGTGTAGTGTATATTTAAAAGTTAAAATATAGACATAAGTACTGAACTACTACTAAAATGACATGCAGGAAAAAATGGTGAGTTTACAGAAAATCACATTGTTCAACTCTCAAATGTTCTGCATCAATTCAACACACATGTATGGTTTGTTTTATTGCATTTTGAAAACAAAAACTACTGGATGAAATAGTTTGAAACTTTAGTTGAACATTCTATACATCATGTAGCTTCTGTAAATAAAATATCTTATTGCGGCTTTGAAAATTCAAAAACATTTCATTGTGAATTTTTTCTCATGAAATTGCAAAAAATGTTTAAACCTTTGTTGTATATTTTAGTTACTGATTTTTATGTCTTCCAACATTCATATAAAACTTTACTGTAAAGGTTTTATTTTATAAAAATTCAAGATTTATCACTGTTTTCATTTGAAAAGCAGTATATGCAATTTACTGTGTTTATGATTACTGGTATACAATAAGAATAATTTTACCATATCACAATTTTAAGCACGCATACATTTTTTAAAAATTATTAACCAAAAGGTTTAAATTGATATATTTAATTAGTCTTATACCTGTTTGATGCTAGTACACACATATATTGTGTAAATTTCTTTTTGATGATTTTCTCTATCCTTCCAAGTAGCTACTCAGGCAATACACATAGACCTTGTCAGTGAAATGAAACTGGTATGGTTCAATGCAAAGTGGTGTAACTAAGCACAAGTTTTTTGCAAACTTTAAATCACAAGTATAATTGTGATGGAAGTTGTTTACAAACATTTTTCATTATAGCAATATATCACCAAACTAATCTTTTATCACTTTATTCCAATCTATTGAAATCTCTACTGATGTGGAAGTCAAATAGGCTTATACGGTTTTTGAAAATAACAAAAAAATAGGTTACATTATATGTTTAGAATACTATAGTTTATGACTTCTAGGTTGAGAAACATGATTGACTAAAAGATCAATAAAACTACACAATCTATTCAAGTTACAAGGTCATGATAGTGCTATTTTGTTCAAAACTATTATGATTTTCCTCCTAAGGAATATGAATGCCATGTTATGCTCAGAAAAACTCAGAAAATTTGTGAACATTGATATAGTTTGGAGCATACTGAAGTCAACCCAAAAGTAAAATTTTATATATATAAAAATAAATAACTAAAACTTTTTTATGAAATTAATTTGGATTGAAGTTTTTCTTTCATACATGGAAGAATGAATCTATATATATATACAAGGATATTTTGTACAATGTTTTAATTCATTGGTCCACTTTTGCCATTAATATGGGATGTACCTACCTGGGCAGGATAGAGTTAAGAGTGGTGATTGGAAATAAACTGAAAGTTAAACATTGTTAAAGTTCAGGAAGAAGTAAGTTTATTTCCTACTACACCCAGCATCATCAGGCAAACAGATCATAACAGAATGGTATTTTCTAAGTGTTTGAAAGAATGAATGAGGGAGATAAAAACTAAAAACATGTGAAATAACAATTAAATACACATAACAATAACAATTGAGTAAGAAACATAGAAAATAACACATCATGTTAGAAAAAGCATAGTTGCTGAAAAATTAAGTCAGGGTGTGATATGAATGAATGAAACAATAATATAATAATATATGCTAATACATAATATATTGGTAATTCTTACCAAAATTTTGATCTGCAGAGTAACTGTAAAATATGAATATAATTTTTGCTAGTGTTCTGTAACAGTCATGAATGCAACAAGTGTTTGTTTTAATTTTAGATATATGTTTTTGTATTAAGTTGACTGCTAATTAACACTTAAATAAACTTATAAAATGGGTATACTAGAAATGGGAAAAAAAGAAAGTACAGATTACAACATTTTGACAAGTTAATTTGCTATCATCAGGTACAATGTATGAGGGAATGCTATAGCATTATGTTTGACAATATAATATTTTAATAGTGAACCGTTTGTGATCTGTGAACCAGCTGAGATACCTTTAATAAATAAATATAGCGAAGAACCAGGATATATGTTTATAAAGTTTTTTTTGTGTGTGTTTATCATTATTGGGCTTCCTTGAATTTTCTTTTGCAGTTGTTTTCCTTAGAGATTATGTGAAAGAATGAGAATGTTGTGACCAGAGTCTTGTTTGCGTTGAAGGATTGAGAAGATGTATGATTACGCTCATTTATACTGATATCAAATTTTATTACTGTTTCACCTAAGTAACTTGATGTGAATTTTATAGAATGATGTTTGTTAAGGCCTCTGTGAAATGCTGGGCTTGTTGTGAATCGTAAAAACCTGTTAGTACGTCATGAACTTATTGTAGTGAAGTAGGAAGGAGAAAACAGTGTGGTGTTTAGAGTATGCTGTTCAATTGAAATCATAAGTAAATTCTAAAGCATGAGTTACCTATGGCTATGCCATTGATCTGATCATGGTTTGCATTATTGAATCAAAAAATGGTCATTTTTGTTGTGAATTTCAATAATCCAGTAAGGGTAAGACAAAGGAGAAAAATTCTAGGATGACGATAATTTTGAAGAGCAATATCACAAGCTTCTTGGACAGGTACTTGTGTGAAGAGAGAAATAATATCATGACTGCACATACGAGCATTTGGATCAAAATATTGACATATATGGACGACTTCTGTTGAATTTTTCATACATGGTGTTCAAAGCAGAAGTTACACACAGGGAGAAACCCCATGTCAGATACTTGTCTAGGTTTTAATTGTACGCACCATAGGCTGGGAGAAGAGGATGAAATGAGAAGTTCTCTTTGTAGATTTTAGGAATATCATATTATTGAAAAGTTCTTTTTTTTTGTAGAGTTAATAAATTTGTTGAGTTGATGTTCTCTTGAATTGGTGAAATCAGTAGAAATAGGTTGTAATTTGTACTTATAATTCAGGATAGAATTAACATTTCTAGATATTCATTTTTGGATTGTTAACTGTCATGTACTTCAGGTTGACTGGATGAATTCATAATTTTGGGGACATCATGAAACCACCTATGTGAAGAAAACTATGATTTATAAGCATAAGGAATTGGTCTATTTTTGGAAATATGTTCCTCCAAAAAATAAGTCACTTCATTATGCTTATAAATCATTGTTTGCCAATTTATTATTGTATTAGCTTAATGTGCTTCCATATTTAAGTATTCATTGCAGTCATTTGCTGAAAATATTAGGATTTTTTTTGATGAATGCTTATGGTAAATTTTGGGGCAAGGTTTTGTAGTTCTGTCATAATTTTGAGATGAGGAGTTTGTGTAGGATAGATAGCAAATTTCAAACCCTTTTTTCTAGACGTGTGATTTGAGGAAGATAAATGGGTACTGAAAATTTATTGTGCACATGTATTTTTAATGAATGTAGTATTTTTATTGTAAGGGGTAAAGGTGAGTATTTTTTATTTGAGTTTATCAAGTTTATGAAGCTGTAGAATTAATACTTTTCCCCCATAATTTTTAGTAAAACACTATAGTCATTTAGAGAAGTAGAAAGTTGTTGATTTTGTAGCTCTACTTTAATTAATACACTGAAGGAATGATATGCTCATGTAAAAGATTGTTGCATTAATGGTCCTACATTTCTTACTAGAAGTTGGTAGATTCATATGAAAAAAAAAAAAATAGGAATTAAAGAATCACTAATACAGTTTATTAAAGATCTAATGTCCAACTCATGTTTCAAAAGTTTAATACTGACCTGTTGGTAGTTTCTAAACATACTGGTTTTGTAATCCATAGATGAAAATGGTACTCGTTGACATGGAGAACAAGATAAATAATCAGAAGAATAGTGATAGGCCTAAAGCTAAAAAGTGGCATAGCTCATAGAAGCAAAAAGAACTATGCTCAAAAATACAGAGAAAATTCTTGAAGATGGGAAGAAATAATTTAGAAATGAGATAACAACATTAGCCTTAAGATAAAGAGTGACTATCATAAAAAACACAGTTAACTCTTAATCAGTGTGATGACCCAGGTATTTTAAATTAAGGAAAGACAACAATATTTGTTTTTAATGTACATTCTTGGTCTATCTCATTTGGCAAAAAGATTATGGTTTTATGTATGTAAAACACAATATTAATGTAAAAGTTAAATTTTATTTTACTCCTGGCATAAAAACTAGGAGTAATCTATCAAATAAATTCCAAGAAAACCATGTTATAAATAGTGGCTATGATTATAAGGACCCAAGATATATAAGTGAAACCGGGAGAAAACTGAATCCCTGCATAAGTGAACACAATCATGCACCCTCTCTTATCTTTCAATGTAAACAAGATTCTGATCACAAAGTCTCCTTTCATTCTTTTCACATAATTTCCAAGGAAAACAACAATTGCCAAAGAAAAATCAAAGAAGCCCTATTAATAAGAAATAAAAACCCTCTATAAAAAGATGTTGTATTTACACCAAAGGTACATTATGATGATAAGTACACTTATCAAAATGTTGAAATTTATCTTTTTTTCTTAATGTTATCTTCCTGTATAGACATTTTGTAAGTTTATTTATTCATTTTATTCTGGGCTTCTTCATTTGTATACATAATAACAGAAAAAAAGGAGTTAAAATGCAATTCTTACCAGCATATGGGTGTTCGTAAAAATATATTTGTTATTGATGTGGAGGAAATTATGTTATATAAACAAAGTGTTATTTAAAAGAGCATCTGAAGCCTAATGCTGGAAATTCTTCAAACTTCTACAGATGTTTATGCCGAGGACATGACAGAACTGCAGATGAAAAGAACTTTAAAATGATACATTGTATCAACAACTAACAAGATTTAAGAATCAAGGAAACCTTAGCTAACAAGAAATAAAACCAATTGACCAGGATGATTGATACAATTTTTGATAATTACTTGAGCACAATGCAATTTGTTAGTGGGGTAAAGCACCCACAGTATT